TGAGTCACCTCCTGGAGGCCTCTGGAAGTGCCCCCCACTAATTTCTGGGCTCTGGTGAAGGCAGGAGGGGGTCCCATGTGGTCTCCCCGCCCTCACAGCCTGTTGCGGACTGGTCACCCAGGGCCCTGCAGCTTCCCAGCCTCCACACCACTCCTGCCCGGGCCAGCGACACTCAGGCCCCGCACCCTGGCCCCCTTCGAGGCCTTCCTGCTCCGGCCCCCGCCGGCCTCCTCTCGCTCATGGTTTCACTGCAGACACTCGGCCCCGGTTTCCGAAGGCCATGTCCCCTCAGTGGGCTCGGCCACGGGCCCCGCCTGCCCACGGCCCCAGGTGTCCTGGAGGACCGCTCTCTCCACTTCTTCGGGGGAGCCCTCCTCAACCCCCGGGGCCAGGCACGGCACAGACACTCCTGCCGAGGAAGGGAGTGCGGCAGTAGCCATGGGGTTTGAAGACACTCGTCCTGGTGGAGAACTCAGCAGCAGAAGGGGCTGAAAGGTGGCCACAGGCAAGGCTCCCTCTGCTGGTGGATGGACAGACACAGGTGGTCGTCAGACAGCAGAGCCGTCTCCAGACACAGGGTGCTGACACGCTTTCTACTCGGGTGGCCCTGCAACCTCACGCTCGGTGCAGGAAGCCAGTCATGCTAAGACCACACGGCCTGCAACTCCAGTCACACGGAAGTTCAGGACAGGCCTCTCCACAGGGACAGAAAGGAAGCGAGTGGCAGTTTGGGGGTGGGGAGCGTAGGGGGCTGAGAGTCAAAGAGTTTCTTTTTGAGATGAAAATGTTCTCAAACTGGTGGTCATGATGGTTGCAAAAACCACTGAATGGTATTATTTAAAGGGCTAAATCACATGGGTGTGCTGTGTGAATTGTGCTTCCGTAAAGCTGGGCTTTCATTTTTTTCAAGCAGATATAGTGAGGGGGCTGTTGCCATCTTGCAGCTAAGAGATGGTGGTGGCAGGGGGCAGGGTGGAGAAAGGGCGGAGGGGAAGGTGCGGGCCGGGGACGCTGGCTGTGCGTAGGCAGCAGGGGGCCGAGGGCCTGCAGGTGGCAGTGGGTGGAGCCAGGCCAGGCCCTGTTCCCTCCATCGCCCAGGCTCTCCCCGCAGAGAATGGATGGAGGGGCGCTGGGAAATGGCCTCAGTGTCCTCTTCAACAGGTGACGATGCTACTTGAAGAAGAAGGTCTCGAACTCTTGGTCAGAATGATTAAAAAGAAGCCTCCTGGACAGGAGAAGACGTGGGGAGGACCCAGGGAGCAGAAGCTCCCCGTAGCGCAGGCCGGCGCACCGTCGGGGACCTCTAGGGCGGAATCTGCCCCGCGGTTTCCCTCGGTGGACATTTCCGAGGCGGAGCGCCTCCGGGGTCCAGCTCGGCTCGTGAATCACACAGAAGACATGATTCAGCGCCGGGCACATGCCACATCCATAATAGCTTTCAAGAAGACATATTTTTATTGCTGCACTTGAGGACAGCCCCTCGGAATCCAGAGCCCATCAAATCGACAGGCAGAGCAGAGCGCAAGGCCCCAAGTTCACCGCCAGGGCCTCTGCCTCTCTCTGCCACACCAGCATGGGCTCGGCTGGCGCATCAGGCTCCTGGACAGCGAAGCTGCAACGAGTTCAGGTCTGGAGACGCCCACACACGTGGGCCCCAATGTTGTGCGGAGGTCGCCAAAGAGGGAGAACCCCTTCCACACCTGTGCTGGGCCCGTTATTTACACTGTAGCGCTTGTCGCCTGTCAGCTGAGACAGAAACGTGACTGCCTCTCTGCATGTGCTGCCAATTCGAAGCGTCAAACCACTGGAGCAACTAACGGGGGCTTCGCACACCCTACCTCGCTGAAGAAGGGGGGTCCTGCCTCCACCCAAATCACAACTCGGCTGCCGGCCCAGCCACTCCCGGCAACGGGGCCTGGCCACTCTCGGCCAGGCCACAACTCAGCTTGCACCAACTCTCCACACACACGCTGCTTTTTTCTAAAGGAGAAATATGAACTCTTGTTTTCAAATCGCAGGGTTCTGTGGAAGCGGGTTCCAGCTTATGCCCCCACCCACTGGTGACGGAGGAGCATGGGGGAGTCATACTCTTTGCTTCCGATCCACAACCTCCTGCCTACTTCTAAGGGTACTTGGTAACCCTCTTTGAACACTCGTCCGTGTTTCCAGAAGTCACAGGAAAAAGCCCGATGCCAAGAGCATGAATGGGAAATTGATGCCTGCACACCAAGAGATATTACTCAGCGGCTATTGTATTTCTAACATGTGGACAATGGGGTCATCCGTTCACCTACTATCCAGTTCATCATCCACGTGCGCACTTTTAATTAAAACTTAACCTTCACCTCCTGTATTCCAAGTGGGAGTAGCACAAAAATCACATCTATCCTCGCAGGCGCAGATGGTATGAGTTTCTCCCCAATCAAATCTATAAATGAACATTCCCTTTAAATTTTTGTGGAGTTAAAAGCAAACTCTGAAATATTGGCGTTTTCCCACACTTCAGCCCCTCCCAGGCAGGTCAGGGTGACCAAGCAGAGCCAGGGTGCAGCCCAGAGTCACCTCTGAGAGGCAGGTCATTGACCTTTCCCCGGCCAAGCTGCCAATCATCGCCAAACTCTCCCAAGGAGAGACCAGTGAATGTTAAGTATACCCAACTCATCTCATAGGTCGACCTCTGCAAGGCTTCACCTCAGCTTGGGAGAGCCCAGACAGCTTTATTAGCATGCTGCACCACGGCCCGCCCTGGCCCCTCCCCTCCCTCTTTTATGAGCCCTTGTTACATAAAATGCCACAAAGGGAAAAGGAAAAACAACAAACTTACAGTTACAAACATGAGTTCGGCTGGCCAGGCCAAACCCTGGCTGCTTACCAGATGTCATTTTTAGCATTTAAAACAGAAACATTTTGAAAAGGCCAGAGAACAAAAGTTTTTGTCGATGTCTTTCTTCTTCAACACACACACACACACACACACACACACACACACACAAAGATGGAGGTACATTCGCTCACAAGCATCCTTCCCCATTCAAACTGAAAGGCAGAGAAGCCAGGCAGCTCCTTTCGGAGGGGGAGTAAGGGTAGCCTTCAAACAGGATTTTCCAATGTTTCTCTCACCCGCATCGAAATTCCAGCGTGACAGATGATAAACAGCTACTCATTTACGATCATCATAAAAATTTAAACAGCCTTGAAATAGTTGCTACAATACAGAAGAAATGACCAGACCCCAAGCTCCGTAAAGCCACTCAGAATAGTCAAACTATTGCCATGTAGAAGACACATAAGGAAACACATAAGGAGAAAGCTGCGGGATTACTGGATTTGCTCTTTCAAATCTTCTATCGCTGCGTGTAAGAGTCAACAACTTGCCGTTTCACCCAGTGAGAAAAACGGTTTAGTAACCATCGGCTATCACACTGTGCCAGATTTGGTGGTGGTTCTTTTTTTTTTTTTTAGGAAAGTATCTGATTTGATTCTACACAGTGATTAAACATCTTTGTGCTCAGCGGAGAAGGGTCTTCCAACCCCTCCCCCTCCAAAAATGGCATCAAAGCAATCAAAATGGTAATGCCGAGCCCGGGTCCCCCCCCCCCCCCGCGAACTCCCCGACTTCGCCGGGGCCGCGCACCGGGCCCCCCCTCCAGCGGGAAATGGAAGCTTCCACTCCAGGCCGGGCGCGCGCTCGGCCACGAAGGGGGCCGTGGCCCCGGCAGAAAGGGGTTAACGCCGTCGTCCCAGCCCTGCGGACCAGCCCGACGCCCACGACCAGTCACCGACCCGCGGCGGGGAACAGCCATCTTTCTTTCCGCTACGCCGGCCACCTCCTCTTCCGCACACCCCCTCCCACCACTTTTCAACTTTAAAGACTCCTAACGTGCACCGGCCTCCCGAGTTCTCTCTCGCCCTCACCGCGGCCACCCCCTCCAATCTCCTCCAGGACTCCGGACAAATTTCTCTGGGGAGGGTCATCTGATCCGGTCACTCCGGCAGGGATTGGGGGGGGCGGGGGGCGGGGGGGGGGGGCGGGCGCTGTCCAAGTTTGGTGCTGAAAGCTGCGGCCGGCAGGCATTCCAAAGGAACCGGATCGATGGCCAGGGGGCGGGGACAGTGGGGAGGGGCCCCGAGGTCCCCTTCCCCGCCAGTCTCGGAGGCCCGGGAGCGCCATTGGCTGTGCCTCTCAAAGTTCTCGAGGGCGGGAGCGCGTGTGCGGGGAGAGGAGAGCCGAGGGGGAGGGGCACGCGGGCCGGGAGAGGGGGCGGGGGCGCGCGGCCGGCAGCAGCATCTGTTCGTGGTGCTGAAACCCCGAGCGCTGAGCTCGGCGCAACTAAGTCACAATGGACAACTTTTCCTCCCCAAGGGGCCGGGAGGGGGTCGGTGGCCGTGGCCCTCACCCTGAGGAGCTTCTCCCGGATCCCAATCTACACCTGGAGCCCGCAGGCTAAAGTTGGGGCAGAACTGGGGGGTCCCGGGGGCGCGTTCCTTTTGTTCCCAGGGAGCTGGCGTCAGGTTCCAAGAATAAAAAGTGACGCTGGAGAAGTGAGGGGAGGGGGCGCCCAGGGGAACGCTTCTGTAGATGGGATTTGCAATGGAACCCAGAAATCGCTTCCGAGCAGTTTGGTGTCCGGGCCCGAATTGGTGCCCCTCCACCCCCTACCCGCACGCCAGAAAGGGCACGGGGCCGGGAGAAACGCCCACGTTCCAAAAACATGTCCACCAACTCAAAATGGACGCCGGGCTGCTGGACGCCTTTTAAGTGCCGCTTCTGTCTTCCAGCCACTGCGCTCTGCCCCCTCGGCCTCTGAGAACCCGGCTCTTTCTTTCCAGAAAACGGGGGGCGCGGGTAACTTTGAGGATGGCACAGGGACTCCCTCGGGAGTCTGAGCGTGAGCGCGGTGGCCAGCACTTTTTAGGGTGCCATCAAAGTACCCGGAGACCCCTCCTCCCAACCGGGGCGGGCGGGGTGGGGGGGTGGGCGCAGGCTCCAGCTCGCTTACTTTGTCGCTGAGCGCAGCAATCCGCGGCTGCCTCTCGTGGAGCTGCTTCTTGAGGTCGCCGTTCTGTGGAAACACGGAGGAGTGGGCTCAGGCTGGCCGCCCTGGGGGTCGGGTGCGCCCGGAGCCCCATGGACCTTAAGCCCCGCGCCCTGCGGCCCGCGGGCTGAGCCGCCCGCAAGAAGCCTCAAGTTCCCCGGTCTCGTCCCGCATGCGCGGCGACCGAGCAGCCAGGACCGTGCGGGGCCGCTTACCTGTGGCTGCCGCCTCATCGGGGCAGCTCGCGGGGCGGGGCGGGAGCCGAGGCCACCCGGAGGTGCGCCCCGAGCCGTGCAAGTTTGCAGGCCCGGGTGCGTGTGGAGTGAGTGTGAGTGTGTGCCGGGGGAGGGGGGAGGAACAAAGAGCCAAGTAAACACGGCGAGTCCGTGTGGAGCAAAGCTCATAAATATTCAAGTCGCGTCCTAATCTCCCCGACACACACTCGCGCACGCCGCAATACCGCTCGGGCTCCGGCAGCCACGCAGCCGCTCGCTGAGCCAACAATCGCCCAAACTACTTTTGCAAACTGTGCGGGGTTGTACGCGGGTGGCGGCCACAGGGGGTCGGGGCACACTCGCACCGACCCCGGGGAGGGTTCACGAAGGGTCGCCACCCGGCGCCCTCGGTCCTGCAGACCCCCACCCCTGTGTGGAGAAAGAGAAGACGCAGGGCTCCAGTCTCACGGGCCCCTGGCCTTGCCCTTGCCACACCGGGCAGGACCGCACGGGAGGCGGGTGGAGGGGAAGCCCAGCGGGGTCCTGCAGCCGCTGGCTTCCCCGCCCCGGGGGCAGGCTCCAGAGGCAGCGCCCTCCAGGCACCTCCGGTCGAGTAGACCCAGCGGCGAGGGGCTGGACGTCTGGTCCCTGCAGCCCCCAGCCCGGCCCAGGGCCCCCGGCCGCCTACCTGGTGGAGCGTGAGTTCCGCGGCCAGCGCCTCGGGCCGGCTCTGCAGCTCCATCCTGGCAACTTGGGCTGCACTTTGCGCTCACTTTGGCCCCGGCTCCGCTGAAGTTGCGCGGCTCCGCGGGCGGGGTCGGACCGGGGCTCCCAGGGGTGGGGGCACACGAGCCCCCGCCCCCACCACCGAAAGCGAGGGAGGTTCTAGCGAGGGGGAAGGCGGCCGGGCGCCGCGGCGCTGAGCCCGCGGCCACCCCAACTCCTCAGGGTGCCCCGCAAGTTGCGCCGGGTCCCCGGGCGACCGGCGCTGCCCCACGCATGGCTCCGGGGCGCCGGGAGCCCCGCGCAGCCCCGCGCCGCCCGGCGCGCGCCCGCCCCGCCGCCACCGCCGCCCGCGCGAGCCGCCCGCCGGCAGGGACTATATTTCCTCCGGCGCGCGCGCCTGGATCTCGCTGGGTCTCGGCAAAGTTGTGCCTCGGCCCGATGCTAATTCGTCAGTGCCCGGATGCAGCCGGACGGGGCGGCGGGGGGCGGGGCCGGAGCCGGCCGCCCCGCCCCGCCCGCCCGCCCGCGCGCGCCTGCGCATTGCGGCCCCGCCGCTGCCGGGCGCCCAGAGCGGAGAACAAAAGTGGTGACTGGGAAGGGCGCGAGCTCGCAGCGCCGCCCCGGGACCGCCGCGGCACGGCGCTCCGAGAGGGGCTCCGGCGCTGCCCTCCTCCCCTTGCGGACCCGGCCTGAGCTGAGGATGACGAGGCGCCCCCGGCCCCTTCCTCCAGGGAGCCCAGCCTGAAGTCCGGGTTACAGACACTGATCGGTGGGAGGAGATCGAACGTCCGTTTCTCCTACTCTGTCTCCCCTCGGGCTCTCGCCGCCCGCTCCGTCCGCTGCTCCCCCGGCGCCGGCCCGCTCCTGCCTGCGGTCCCGTTTGGGTAAATTGTGCGCACCAGCGCCGCGACGCGGAGGAGCAACTCGTCGCGTAGCTGGACTCCCCGGCCGCCCGACAGTCCCCGTGTCGTCTAAACTCTCGGCTGTTCCTCTAGTGACATTTTTTACACTCACAATTAAACTCTCAGCAGATGTCACTGGAGTTTTTAAGACTGTTGTTAAAAATCACAGCATGCCCAGTCAACGTGACATAGAACAATTACAGCTACAGCAGTGCGCCCGCGGCCGGGACGCTCACGCCGCCGCCGCCGAGTCAAGGTCCCCCCGACCCCACCATCGCCGCGTCACGACCTCGTCTACGCGCTTCTGAGTGCTGTGTGCCCTAGGGACCCAGCGTCCCGGTGTGTTTGAAAGACGCTGGAGAGAAATGGTGCGATCGCACTTCAGAGGAAACGTTTAAACCGATAAGTCATTATAACTTACTCCTTCCCAGCGCAAAAAATACCCAGGCGTGCACAACCCACACACGTCCCCTTCCAGCACACAACGAGGGGCACGGATCGTGTCTGGGGTCGGCAGGACTTGCCGGAGTGGTTGATTATGTGGTGGAAAACTAAAGGCCTGGTTTCCCACGCAGACTTAGGCTGGGCCCTGTGCCGCCGCTGCTGCAGACACGCTTCCCTCAATGCGTCCTGCACTCCAGGCCGAGCGCCGTGCCTCCTCTGGAATGCACTTCCCCCCTGAGCCCACCTTGCAAAAATTCCTCTTCAGCCTGCAAAACTCACTTCACATGCCGCCTTTTCTGGGAAACTTCTAATTTCTACACGTAAATTCTTCATGCCTCCCACCAGCCCCCAGACGCGCCACGCAGAGCTTACTCAGCAGGGAGGGCACTGGGTCCCCTATTAAAGATAGTTGTTCTCCCCCCATGGAGTCTGAGCCTACTCCGGAGCCAGCTCTGGCCTGTGGGCTGAGCACAGTATGTGTGTGCTGGGAGCCAAGTCAGTGCCTCATGGCTGAATAAGAGAGAGAGGGAATGAATGAACGAATGAATGCTAAAAGAGACGTACATTCTGGTTTTGGAAAGGTGGGCTAGTGACGGTAGCCGTGGAAATAAGTAATGTCCACACTTTATTCCAGGATCCATGTTTTTCTTCACCAGCTTTGTGGCCAAGTGGGCATGGGGCCTGGGTTGGAACTGTATTGGGGTTTGAGATGGGTCCACCTCTTGACAACCTCGTGGCCTCGGGAAAATTAGTCAACATCCCAGCCTTCATTTCTTCGGAAGGAAAATGGGAATCTTCCAACCGACTACCATTAGTTCCTCCTGCCCCGGACCCGGGCCGCCCGCTGGGTGGACAGCCCCATCACCGCCTATCGCTGGCTTATCAGGCCCTGACAGTAGGCAGGAGAAGAGGCCGTCCAACCCCGTGGACAAATAGGGGCTCCAGCTGCTCCCCGCCTTCTGCACCTGGAGGCACAGACCTGCTGCCCCCGTGGCCCAAGACTTGGGAGTCTGGGGGAGTTAGTACTTCATTGAGTGACCCCGGAACAATTCGAAACAGGATTTAGGACGAAGCCAGCAAATGAATGTTTGCTCCCTTCCTTGGCCACCGCAATGCTCTCCGGTGCAGCGTCCCGCCAGGCGGCCTGCAGAAGCCCCACACGACCAGCACGTGGCTTCTTTCCCAGGACCTTGGTCTGGCTGCCCTTCCTCCCTTTCCTCCTCATTCTTGCCTCTCCAGGATTTTGCCTCAAAAGTAGACTTGGAGCTTTACTGCGCCTCTACTTTCGAAGTAGCCCAGGCTGAGAAGGGGACCGGCCATAGCTCCCGCCCCACAGGGTCCCAGGAAGGCAGATGAGGCCACGTCTACGAAGGCCCCTAGCGCACGGGGAAGAAACCACATCTTAGGGAATCGGGTGTCTGTGACAGGTGGGCAGGGCCTTTTCTGGAGAACACGGTCACCTAATGTGTGGATCCCACCTCATAGACAACTATCGAAAGACCCAACATTAGAGCCAAACTCTGAGGTTTGTGTTCAAAACTTGAGGAGCAGCCCAAAGTACAAGACGGAACTTTGAAAATAAGATTTTATTTATTTAGTTTTAGAAAGAGGGGAAGGGAGGGAGGAAGAGAGGGAGAGAAACACCCATGTGTGAGATTTGGACACGGGACCTGGAGAGCGGCTTCCAAAAAAAGAGAAGGCTTCGTCGGAACCCCGGGACCCTGTGAGTGGGACCTCACTTAGAAGACAGGTGTTTGCGGGTGGACTCAGAGACCTCAAAATGAGTGTGTTCTGGGGGATGCCAGCAGGGGAGGAGGCCACGCGAAGACGGGCAGAAGCTGGAGTGACGAGCTACCTGCCGAGGGACGCTGGTGGCCACCAGGAGCTGTGAGAGGCGGGGGGACCCTCCCCAGGCCCCATGGGGGGAGCGAGGCCCTGCCCACACCTTGATTTCTGATTTCTGGCATCCACAGCTGACTGCAAGAGAATAAGTTTATGGGTTCTTTAGAAAAGATTTTTATTTATTATTCTTTAGAGTGAAGGGGAAGTGAGGGAGAGAAACATCGATCAATCGGTTGCCCCTCACATCCCCCCCCCCCCGGCCATCGGGACCCAGCCTGCAATACAGGCCTGTGCCCTGACAAGGAATTGAACCGGTAACATTGCGGCTTACAGTCTGGCGCTCAGGCCACTGAGCCACACCGGCCAGGGCAAATTCCTGCTGTTCTGAGCCACCCGGTTTGTGGCAACTTGTTGAGGGCAGCCCTAGCAAACGAGTGCAGGCCCGGAACCCAGGCGTCAGGGTGGGACTCGCCAATTAAACTCCTGCCACATGTGGGCGCTGCACCGAGGGGCTCACGCCTGCCGTCCCTGACGGGACACCCACAAAGCGGGCAGACCCAGCCCACCCCCACGGTGCTGGGGAGCCGCCTGGTTCTTGGTGCCCTGACTGCCTGCCCCTCTACAGAAGGCAGATTCCTGCCCCCTCCCCCCACGAGCTGCAGTGAGGACCGAAATGAAAAGTGGTTGGAAACCAAGAAGTCCCGAGCAGCAGCGACCTTATTTGCAAGAAAAGCTCTCAGTTCTTCCACAAGGCGGGGCGTCCGGAATGATCACCTCCTTCTTCCCACAAGGGCCCTGAGACCAGGGGGTGCCGGCTCTCCCTCAAGGTGGGCTAGCAGTGGGGCTGGGGCCTGGCCTCCCCGGGCCCCTTACCTGAGCCCCACCTCTGGGTCTCCACACCAGCCTTCCTCTCTGAGGTGGGTGACTCTTGGGAGGTTACTTAAGCTTGGAGTCCCCGTGCCCCCACCCACTCTGCAAAACGAACTTACACGGGTGCTGGGTCTGGTCGTGGGGCCAGCACGAGGCAGCTGGAGGGGGGGGCTGGGTGCCCTGAGTCCCTGCCCTGAAAGCACTGTGTTCCCAGCAGGTGCAGGGACTGTGTCCTTACCACCCCTCCGGGCTCACCTGAGCCACCCCTCAGGGCTCACCGACATTGTGCTTCTCACCTGTCACCTGGGACCAAATGTCCTGCCTGCCCAGGATCACTCAGGTCCTGGGCAGGACCGTCTTGTGCCAGGCTCCACACCCAGAAGTAAAGGTGTTTGCTCTGGAAAGCCTGTTCTGTCTGGATTTGCATTCTGCCAATTTCCCAAATGGAAGTCAGGGCCTTCTGGTCACAGTCCGTCCTTCTGGGTCACAGCGCACGGCCATCGTGGAGTCGAGCTGCCTGGACCAGTTTCCCAGCGTGTGACCCCCACCCCCACCCCCACTCCTGTGGGCAGCTCTGATCTGCCCTCCCACCTGGGCCAAGTTCTTTTCCGGAACACGGCTCTGGGGTGACAGGCCCCGGCTCCCCAGGGCCCCATGTCCCCGCTCCTCAGGCTGGCACAAGGCCCCTGCTCTCTGCCACCACTCAAGCCTGTACCACCACCCCCAACACAAGCGTCCCTCGCTGCCTCCCCGAGTCCCATTCGAGCCCTGGCACCTCTGATAAGCTCCCCTGTCCTGGGAATTCCCATGTCCAGGGCCTCCTGTCATATCCCTTCTGCACGTCCCCTGCTTTGGGAAATGGTCCCAGGCGACCCTCTGCAGGCACAGCTCCTGGGGGAGGGGCCATGCATCCCCTCTGCACCCCAGCTGGCATGGAGCCGGAGCTCAGCCTGCGCACATGCTGAATGAACAAACCTGAGAAGACCGTGTGTAAATAATTTTTAATGTGTTGAAGCGCATTAACGATGCATTAGGAAAGCTGGCTATTTAAAGGAATTCCATAGGGAGTCATTCTCTAAAAACAAGAACCTCCTCCTCATGGAACTAATCACTCCCTAATTCATAGGGTGCGGGTGTGGGGTCTTTACTGACAGTGTTACATCTCTTAATAAAAAGAATGTCTTACAAGGACACTCTTTGTTGCCAGAAACTTTATTCCCGGAACAGCCATAAGGCCAATGAATGGTGAGGCCAAAAAAAAAAAAACCCCACAAAGAAATAGTCAGTAAAATTATGTCGAGTGCCCAAGA